ATAACGAGACTTAAAATTGCTCGTAATATAATAATCAAAGTCATCATTTATTCCATAGCATGAGGGCTAAAAAGGTCATAGCATTAAACAAAGCCCTATGTGTTAGCAATAACGTTTAAAGGAAATTGTATAATTGGACAATTTGACCGAAAACTTTTATACTGTGTCTTGTATAATTTAGAGCATTTGATGCCAATTGCTGTCGCATTATGTGTCATTTACACTATGTTAACTCGGAGGTTCGGCCACTTATATTAATCGCTGCTTTAAGTACAGTACATGACCGCAGCTTTCAAAGCTATTTTATCCGCCATCGCAAAATGCCATCACCCTTGCTGTGGCATTCAGGCTGATTGCCTGAATAAAACAGCGAAATATCGTTGAAGATTTCTGGTGCTGGTCTCGTTGGGAAGTAGCGCAATAATGGGTTTTACAAGTGCCATTAGTGAATCAGTATGAATCATGTCTACACATTCAAGTTTTTTTTTTTTACTCATGATGGTTTTTAAAAAAAACGGAAACGAAACGACCTAGACTAATGAAAAAAAAAAGAGATACCAGACTTCATATCAAATTTACCGTATCCAGAGTTGTCGTTTAGAAAGAACTGCACTTAACATATATACTTACTATGGGAATTATTTTCAATTTTAATACAGGGCCAACAGGTACCGTACTTTTCAAATGTTTGTCGTAACGGTTCAGTTGGTTTCGACTCTGTCGTAAATAGAAGCGGCCCAGTTGAGAGAGGTCTCGATCTTTATTGATGACCAGGGCCATTTAGTATGCCGACTCAAGTCTTGAAAATCCAGTCTCTTCTCATTTCACTTTCCAACGATCTCCATGGCATTTTTGGCTTCCCCCTCTTTCCCAGTGGGTTTTATTCCAACGCATGTCTATTGATGTTATTGGTTCTTACTGATTGTGTGTGTCTCATCACAGTTCTAAACTTGGATGCTGGGATGACGGCAAAAATCCCACTGTGCCTTCAGGATCAGTGCTGTACACAGTGGCGTCGTTAGGTTGGATGTCACCCGGTACGGCATTTCGTGGTGTCACCCCCCCTCCAAGAAACAATATATATATATATATATATATATATATATATATATATATATATATATATATATATATATATATATATATATATATAAATATATATGTAAATATATGTGTGTATATGTAAATATAAGCATACATCTGTGTGGGGTTGTGAGATTTGGGACTTGGGGTGTGGGTTATTTACAATCTATGTTTAGGTTGTAGCATTGTTTGCGGGGCGGAGTATGTGATGTTGGGTGGCGTTGGTAATATGGGGTTAGGGTTGGGGTGTGCTTTAGGGTGTATAGTTCATCTACTGTGTTTTTTGTTTGCGTGTGGTATGGTGAATCGTGTGTATGATGTGAGATGAGTGATTGGGATTAGCAGTTTTAGCTTTTGGTTATGCTATGTTGTGGTTTGGTATGCGTTGGTAAATGTATAGGCCTATATATACACCACACACACACACACACACATATATATATATATATATATATATATATATATATATATATATATATATATATATATATATATATATATATATATATATATATATATATATATATATATATATATATATACTAGCCGTCCCCGCCAGGCCCTGCTCTGGCTTCTGTGAAAAACCTTTCTGTTAAAGACCATTACCTGTGTGTTTAGTAATCATCATAAACCCGGCATTGCCCACCCAAACCACAACCAACCAAAACAACAAAACGCAAACATAACGCTAACACAATTACAGATACAGACGAAAACAAAAACCTAACAACAAACCCAACCACAACCACAAACACCAATACAAACACAAAGAAAAAACAAACAAAAAAGCAAACGAAAACAAAAACCTAACAACAAACCCAACCACAAACACCAATACCAACAAAAAAACAACAACGAAAAAGCTAACGAAAACAAACCAAATCCAAACGCAAAACCAACCAAAAACACAAATACAAACCCAAACAAAAAAAAAAACAAAAACGAAAAAAGAAAGAACAAAAACGAACCAAATCAAAACGCAACCACTAACTCAAACCCACCTAAACACAAAGAAAACACTAACGCGAACATAAACGCCCGGGGCGGAATCACCTGTTTTAGCTTAATGAACGACTATAGTACCCCAACTTATTCATAGTCTTTTGCACTCACTTAAACGAACGCGCCTGTTTCAATTTAATGAACAATTTTAATACCCCAAGCTTATCCGTAAAATACCTACAACATTTGCACTTGATCAATCCCCGCTAATTATGTAATTATTTTTTTTTTCCCAACACCAAAACAAAGTAATAAAAAGTAAATTATTTTCCACTAATGCAATGGTTTTATAAAGGGAAGTAATTGTGTTTTCCTAATTTATCAAAGGGAAGTAAGTGCTATAGGACTAAATAAAGACATAATTAGAATTTTTGTAAAAGATGATATTTTTTTAAAACTTGTGTTTAATGAACATGCCGACAATTATTACTATAATTTGAAAAATGAAAATTATTTCCCAACACTTTCAATAGTAATTTTTTAACTCATAAATTTAGACAAATGCGCACGATAATTGTCTAACACTTAAATCCACCCAAGACCAACGACAAACATATGCGTTACATACAGAACTGAGCTTTATATATTACTAGCCGTCCCGGCCAGGCCCTGCTCTGGCTTCTGTGAAAAACCTTTCTGTTAAAGACCATTACCTGTGTGTTTAGTAATCATCATAAACCCGGCATTGCCCACCCAAACCACAACCAACCAAAACAACAAAACGCAAACATAACGCTAACACAATTACAGATACAGACGAAAACAAAAACCTAACAACAAACCCAACCACAACCACAAACACCAATACAAACACAAAGAAAAAACAAACAAAAAAGCAAACGAAAACAAAAACCTAACAACAAACCCAACCACAAACACCAATACCAACAAAAAAACAACAACGAAAAAGCTAACGAAAACAAACCAAATCCAAACGCAAAACCAACCAAAAACACAAATACAAACCCAAACAAAAAAAAAAACAAAAACGAAAAAAGAAAGAACAAAAACGAACCAAATCAAAACGCAACCACTAACTCAAACCCACCTAAACACAAAGAAAACACTAACGCGAACATAAACGCCCGGGGCGGAATCACCTGTTTTAGCTTAATGAACGACTATAGTACCCCAACTTATTCATAGTCTTTTGCACTCACTTAAACGAACGCGCCTGTTTCAATTTAATGAACAATTTTAATACCCCAAGCTTATCCGTAAAATACCTACAACATTTGCACTTGATCAATCCCCGCTAATTATGTAATTATTTTTTTTTTCCCAACACCAAAACAAAGTAATAAAAAGTAAATTATTTTCCACTAATGCAATGGTTTTATAAAGGGAAGTAATTGTGTTTTCCTAATTTATCAAAGGGAAGTAAGTGCTATAGGACTAAATAAAGACATAATTAGAATTTTTGTAAAAGATGATATTTTTTTAAAACTTGTGTTTAATGAACATGCCGACAATTATTACTATAATTTGAAAAATGAAAATTATTTCCCAACACTTTCAATAGTAATTTTTTAACTCATAAATTTAGACAAATGCGCACGATAATTGTCTAACACTTAAATCCACCCAAGACCAACGACAAACATATGCGTTACATACAGAACTGAGCTTTATATATTACTAGCCGTCCCGGCCAGGCCCTGCTCTGGCTTCTGTGAAAAACCTTTCTGTTAAAGACCATTACCTGTGTGTTTAGTAATCATCATTAACCCGGCATTGCCCACCCAAACCACAACCAACCAAAACAACAAAACGCAAACATAACGCTAACACAATTACAAATAAAAACGAAAACAAAAACCTAACAACAACCACAACCACAAACACCAATACAAACACAAAGAAAAAACAAACAAAAAAGCAAACGAAAACAAAAACCTAACAACAAACCCAACCACAAACACCAATACCAACAAAAAAAAAAAAAAAAAAAAACAACGAAAAAGCAAACGAAAACAAACCAAATCCAAACGCAAAACCAACCAAAAACACAAATACAAACCCAAACAAAAAAACACAAACAAAAACGAAAAAAGAAAGAACAAAAACGAACCAAATCAAAACGCAACCACTAACGCAAACCCACCTAAACACAAAGAAAACACTAACGCGAACATAAACGCCCGGGGCGGAATCACCTGTTTTAGCTTAATGAACGACTATAGTACCCCAACTTATTCATATTCTTTTGCACTCACTTAAACGAACGCGCCTGTTTCAATTTGATGAACAATTTTAATACTCCAAGCTTATCCGTAAAATACCTACAACATTTGCACTTGATCAATCCCCGCTAATTATGTAATTATTTTTTTTTCCCAACACCAAAACAAAGTAATTAAAAAGTAAATTATTTTCGACTAATGCAATGGTTTTATAAAGGGAAGTAATTTTGTTTTCCTAATTTATCAAAGGGAAGTAAGTGCTATAGGACTAAATAAAGACATAATTAGAATTTTTGTAAAAGATGATATTTTTTTTAAACTTGTGTTTAATGAACATGCCGACAATTATTACTGTAATTTGAAAAATGAAAATGATTTCCCAACACTTTCAATGGTAATTTTTTAGCTCATAAATTTAGACAAATGCGCACGATAATTTTCTAACACTTAAATTCATACAATTCCAACGACATACAAATGCATTACATACAGAACTGAGCTTTATATATTAGATATATATATATATATATATATATATATATATATATATATATATATATATATATATGTATATATATAAACACACAAATATATGTATAAACACACACATATATATATATAAACACACACATATATATATAAACACACACACAAATATATATATATATATATATAGAGAGAGAGAGAGAGAGAGGAGAGAGAGAAAGAGATGGGGGGGGGGGGTGAGAAAAAAGCCATTTGAAATTAAATATCCCGTATTCTGTTAGTGTTAGGTTAAGGAACAAATCAAACTTGTAATTAATCGTTCTAAATTGTGATTTATTAGTTACAATGACTAGCTAAAAGAGCAACATGTGGTGTTACAATTTTCTGATCTCGCTTCAAGCTCGCCATCACACGATAACAATTGTAGGTCACACAGCGCCGTACGCGCATTAGGGAGCAAGCTTGTGGAAAATATCCCTCTTCTTTGGTGCACGCCATTTTACAATAAGTGCTGTTCCCATATAATCACGCGGTTTTTAGTTTATTCATCGCCTGTGGAGACAATACTGTAGAACATTTTTGGTTTGCTTATGGCGGAAGCATTTGTATCCAGTATGACAAAAATACAGTTTTGTTTAACCGGCTTTTAAATAACATTTTAATTACCATACTATTACTACACAAAAGCATAATTTGTAAAAAATGATGCGTTTATTTTAAAGAACCATTTATGAAGTCGATAGGGATATTTATTAATACTTATCTACATTGGTTCTCCAACCAGTCTACAAAATATGTTTTTATCAGCTCAGCTAAGTAGAATGTACACCTGATATAGTGTCTTTGTTAGTTAGTGATAAAAAAAAGATTTTGGAAGATCGTATTTAACAAAGGGGCGGAGACTTACTCGTAAACTATAGTAGATCTAGAATTATTTATCGTTTGCGTAGCAAAGTGTACATATATAATGGATGACTTGTTTAGAAGTTTTAGTTAGTATGTCTTTATAGCTTTGTATTATATTTAGTTTTTTCTTAAATAATGACTACTGAGAAGTTCACTATGCGAAGCTGTGCCGGCCGAGGGTATTCTTGACGGCTGAATTGCTTTCGAGAGGATTGTGGTTTGCTAAAATTAAAATGCCATCAGCAGAAGTTTGTTATTTTCAAAGATGTAAGTTTTTTTTTTCTATTTCTATCTATCTATCTATCTATCTATCTATCTATCTATCTATCTATCTATCTATCTATCTATCTATCTATCTATCTATCTATCTATCTATCTATCTATCTATCTATCTATCTATCTATCTATCTATCTATCTATCTATCTATCTATCTATCTATCTATCTGTCTGTCTGTCTGTCTGTCTGTCTGTCTATCCTATCTGTCTGTCTGTCTGTCTCTCTCTCTCTGTGTCTCTCTCTCTCTCTCTCTCTCTCTCTCTCTCTCTCTCTCTCTCTCTCTATATATATATATATATATATATATATATATATATATATATATATATATATATATATATATGAAAAGAGAGAGAGAGAAAGATGTGCAACATCTGGCTCTTCTCAACTTAGGGCCCAGGCTTTGTGCTTGGATTTCCAATGCGCAATCATCATATGTGTATCAGAAAGATATGCTTATATAAATTATAAATAACGAGCCGACCCGCGGCGTATCATATGCCGCTATTTAGTTGTTTATTTTCTACTTTTCAGTAATTCATAATTTGTGAATTCGACAGTACCAATGCTGCCACTGAAAATATTTACTTTAAAACACTATCAGTAGGTCGTTGAGGACGATACACCCCCCCCCCCCTCTTTTCCCCCAACCCCTACCCTCCCCCTACCCGTAAAAGCAGCCTCCTCTTAGTTACCCCCCCCCCCCTAAGTTTAAAATCGTTTCAAACTAAATTATCTGCCCCTACTAGCCGTCACTAAACTCGGCTGTACGATTGTAAACATTTAGCGTGAACCACAGCTCACCAGACCATGTGGGGGTGGTAGAGATATATGAAGAGAGGGGGCTGCTAGGAGGCGCGCTTACAGCTTGGTGTTTTCTATGGTCTCCAAGAAGATAATTATATAGATATATACTTTTGTGCTTTAGCTCGCAAATATAAGGTATTAAGTACTAGCATTACGAATTAACTATTTATAAGGCGAGATGTTTAAGAATCAGTCTCATAGCACTAAATGTGTACTGTAACTGCCACCTTATAACCTTTACGTACCTTAAGAACTGAATTGGCTAAAGCCCTAAAAATCCATCTTTCTTGTGTTTTAATTAATAGCAGTGTTTCTTCCAGACTTTTTTCTCCGGGGGGGCACTTGAAATCTTCGGGGGGGCGGTAAACTTTCTTCGGGGGGGCGGACACTGTTAAAAGTATATATTTTCTATATAAATTATATAAATTTCATTTCGTTCGGGGGGGCGGTAAAAATTTTTCGGGGGGGGCTTCGCCCCCCCGAAGAGATGCCTGGAAGAAACTCTGATTAATAGTAATTCTCTCATTTACTGCTTTGTTTCTCATCCTGCATTTAAAAAATCGTGCGTTCTATAGCCTACTTCTTAGTCTTTATCTATCTGTCTTCCTCAATGGCTTTAGTAATTTAAAGGCATTTTGTATTTAAATCTGAGAAGTTGTCTCTCTCATGAACATATTAAGAAGCTTTTTAATATATTAATTCGTTTATATAATTTAAATTAATTTTGCGCATTTTCGGCTTCCTGATCGGCCTCCCTCCCTCTAACCCCCCCCCCCCCCATTGCGGTGTCTGGTGGTAGAGTAGTTCCGCCCCTGATATCTACGCCAATGTTTTTAAAGTTGATGCGCCTACCATGTCACATGTAACATAAGGGGTCATCCATTTATGACGTCCACAAAAAATTGGAATTGTTGACCCCGCCCGCCCACGCGTTCACTTTCGACGAACTCCTCCCCCCCCCACCCCACTTCCCCCATATTGTATATGTTATTTTGTTTTTTTTTTTTTACATGAAAAAAAATGACTACATTGTAGGCCTACTATGCTTTAGTTACAATTGTTTTAAATTAAAAAAAAAAAATTAACTTGAAATACCAAGAATTGCCGCGTCAATGACCCCCCCCTCTCCCTTGTAAAAAAAATGACGTCACACCGCGAGTTGATGGGTTTAGGCCTAGCTTTTGTTGTGACGATGTGCTTGGTGAGGGTGAAGTTAAGAAACTTGAAGCAGCGTATATTTAAAAAAAATGAAAACATATTTTGTTAGGGTGGTGGTAAAGTTTATGAGGGGGAGGGGGGGGGGGCACGGTCTAATACGAACGAAGTCTCTTTAAAAATCTCTCTTACTAGTATACAAAAAAAAAAACCAGCCTATCTTTTTCAGATTGTTTAGTTTGCATTGTCATGATATACACATCTTACTAGCCAATTAAAATGTAGAGAGCAACCCAGAACACATGCGACCTAAATTCTTAACAGCCTCAACGTAAATCTTTAAAAATAGCCGTTTCTTGTGTATGCGCAAATGAGTAAGTGAATGATGCAGTGTAGGCGGATGGGTGAGGTGAGTTAATCTTTTGCTAAATATGTGTACATAAACGTTAGCACGCCACATAGCGAGGATTAATATCAGTTAACTGAAAAAGTTTATTAAAGGCAAGTTTGCATCAATTAATTTTAAGTACACGTAACTATTTAGCTTTTTTTTTTCAAACTACTTGTTAGTCATTAACACTTCAGTAAACCTAGAAAGTAACCAGCATTTTATGTAAGTTATTATTGTTGTGTACTTATGGGCGATGTGTCTAGTGATATAAAAAGTAGGCTTACTCGTGTTTTTTAAAAAAAATAATGTGGTTTTCACTTCTTGATAAATACTAGGCCACAACTGTTGTATAACTGCTATATAAATATATATAGTTCTTTTATTAAATTTTATTTTAGCAGATCGATTTCAGCGTGGATTTTTCAGACTAAAGTAAAATCAGGATTTGTTTATATTGTTTAGAGTTAAGTGAGGTCTAAAGTCTCCCCCCCCCCCCTTACCATATACTATTACAAACGTTATTGATTTAGTCTTTTAGAGTAACTTAGCCAAGTTGGGGTATATTTGGAGATACAAAACACGAAAGTTAGGCTAACGGGTTCCCAACATTCAATAGCCTTTAACTTAAAGACTTTTAACACATTTGATTTGGAACTTGTTACATCATTGCCTTAATTTGTTAAACGTATTCAAGTATACCAGAAATATCAATTTCAATGCATTAAAATAGTAGTAGTTTAGCGGTTGTTTCAAAACTGTTTTATAAAAGTATTATTCTTTGGGGAAGGGGGGACGTCCATAAGTGACATCACATTCCGAGGGGGTGTTCATAATTTTGTGACGATGTGTGATGAAAGGGGGGGGGGGGGTGTTCAGATATTGTGAAGTCACACTTTTGCATTTAAAAAAAAGTAATATAAGAAAGTCGTTATTTCGCGTTTTTAAAAAGCTTGTTTTTGTAAATCATAAGAGAAATTGATTAATATGTCATATTCTCTATGAAAGAAATCGCTGTTTTAAAACATTGTTTTCGATTATTTTGGTTTCTGTTCTGGGTTGCTTATTGAACTTGTTAAACAACTACTTCAATTGTTTGAATACCCTAACATGTATTTTATTGTAAAACGATAACTTTAGATGGTTTCTAATAACCTTCTTGATTACTCTTAACAATCGAAGAGTAAAAGTAAAACTGCCAAGACATGAAATCCTGTATGTGATTTTTATTTTTAGCTTGCCATTTAAATATTTCGACCAGAGCTGTCATTTAAACTGGTTTACAATTCGGGCAAGCTTGTTTAAGCTGACGCCATCCTAGCGTTTAACATTCATTATTTAAACGCTGGCAGTGAATACAAAGTCCACATCATGTGAGCAGTGTAAAAATGTGTTCAGTTTGTCACGCACACCGACACGTTCAAATATTCTGTTGCAAATGTCATACAACGCTCGGTTACTTTTGAGCTGGTAAAGTGCTAACGCTTCGCGTGAAGTTTATCCCTATGTTCGACACGTGTCACCACTCAGGCCGTTATCATCGGGCTAGAGTGAAATTGTTGGCGCTAGCACAGTATTGAAGTTGAGTTTGGTCGGGTTTTCTATATTGGTAGAACAATTCAGAAAAATAACATTAAATTAAAGCCTAGATGCTCAACAACAAAAAAATAATTTAAAAAATAGATACCCCAACTCGTATATGTTTTATTTATAAATATAAAACGTCATTGTAGAATAGGCCTACAAGAATAAAGTAGGTCATGTGAGTATACTCGTTTTTCTAAAAGAATGTTTCAGCCCAGAAAACAACTGAACTTTGACCTTATTATACAATTTTATGCAACTCCTTAAATTTCCTTAGGATGATTAACATTTACTGAGATGGTCAGTATTAGGGGTGGGGGATCTAATCAGAAACACTATTTTTAATAAAAAACAATAAACATAAATTATAACATTCTAAAAATTATCTAATTAGGTCAAATTTAGCAGACTGTTGGATAGTCAACTGAGATGATGTTAGTAAAAAGAACCAATCTAAACATAGTCAGAAAGGTTGATTTTTACTTACAAGCATTAGCCAGAACAATATATATACATATATAGTCATGCTTTTAAATAAATCGCATCACATTTTTTTCATTGTAAGTAGTAATGTAGGGTTTGTTTATATAACAACTTAAATTTATTTTATAGTCACCACAGTTTTTACTTTTTCGCATAACGCTAAGAAAATATTAAATACACATACATAGCTAAAACATTAAATGGATCCATTGTCAAATAATATTATCTCTTAGATTCCTAGAAAAAATTAATACATTTTAATAACAGTACTTTAAAAAATATTAATTACTTAAAATATTTAATAATTATGCCAGGGAAGGTAATTAAAAAAAAACCCACACTAATTAAAAAAATGAATGCAAATTCCACTGAAGTCCAAGAATATACTATTCTTAGAATAGTATAATTAGCATGGATTGATTAAGTGCAATATGGTAGGTAAAACACTGATATTTTAAATACTGCCTTTTATTTATGTTATGGGAACAGGGCATTACACCCTCCCCCCCCCACCCCCTGACATTACCTCCCCCCCACGCTGGAGTAATTATCCCCCTGTCAATTACCCCTAGCCCAGTAGGATGTTACTCTTAAGGTACAGCTAGGGTAAGGGTTATGGTCAGGGCTAGGATTAGGGTTAGTGTTATGATCAAGGCTTGGCTTAAACCAATGTCTAGAGTTGGTTTTGGTTTTGTGGCTGAGGTGAATGCTTAGGTTTTGGTCTTTTTCTTAAGGTAATATATAGGTATAGAATTTGAGTTAGAGTTAGGATTCTAACTTGAGGGGGGGGGGGGGGGGGTAATTGCTCCCAGGGGGGGAAGGGGGGTAGGGTAATGTCCTGTAGCCTTATTTTATACACTTAACGTACTGTTTACTAATTATTGTTTTTAATCAATAACAGTTTAGAAGCCTGTTTGCGGACAAGCAGGGGTTTTTATAGTCGTTCACTAAATCAGGCGTATCCACCGGCGCCCCGGCAGGGTTTTATTTTGCACAATGGGCTATCCTGTGAGCGCTATGTTTTAGTGTTAGGATTAGCCCCGGGCTAGACTGTGAGCACTTTAGTTTGTGTTTATGCAATGCGTTGTTGTTTGCGTTTAGGTTTGTGTTTAAGTGTTGCATTTGCATTAATGTTTGTGATTGCATTTTCTGTTGTTTGTATGCATTATGTTTGCGTTTTCTGTTTAGTTTGTATTTGCTTTTGCATTGTGTTTGTGTTTTCTTTTTTGTTTGTGTGTTGCGTTTTTGTTGTTCGTTTTTGGTTTGTGTTTGCATTGCAATTGTGTTTGTGTTTTCTTTTGTGTTTGTGTGTTTAGGTTTGTTCTTTTCCATAGTTGGTACATTCAATAAAGATTCCCTGTGGTGGAGCATGGGTATGCAGCTAGTATATATAAACACACACACACACACACACACATATATATATATATATATATATATATATATATATATATATATATATATATATATATACTATATAATAGTTTCGCTGTCTGTCTATCTATCTATCTATCTATCTATCTATCTATCTATCTATCTATCTATCTATCTATCTATCTAACGCTATAGAGAAAACACAAGCAAATTAAAAACATGCAGAGTAATACGGAAACGAAATATGACGTCACATTTAGCATATGGTAGAAAATAGTATCAAGCCGGAGAGTGCACACAATAATATGACGTCATTGATTCTCGAGTAAACATCGAATTAAAAAGCCTATTCTGTCTAATCTAAGTGGTTTGCGTAAAGAGTTTCTTTCATACAATTCTTCGGGTAGGGGCGAAGCCCCACCCTCGCGTAAGAACGTCTAAGCCGTCCCCACCCCAACTAAAAAGAAATGACGTCATCGATACTCTATAATAAAATTACAGCCTAATTCATGTGTCTAATCTAAAAAGTGGTTTGCTTGCAGAGTTTCTTTCATGCAATTCTTCGGGTAGTGGCTAAACGCGACACCAGTGTTTCTTTCAGACTTTTTCCTCTCCGAGGGGGGAACTTTTTCTAATCTAAAAAGTGTTTAACGTGCACAGTTTTTTTCATGCATCTCTTCCGGTAGGGGCGAAGCCCCGTCCAGGTTCTTCCTGTAGTTTGTATGATCTACAAATTCGACCAGTGTTTCTTTCAGATTTTTTCATCCCCGGAGAGGGGTGGGGGTATTTGAATTTTTTGGGGGCAGGGGTTGAATTTTCTGGTAGGGGTGGACACTGGAAAAAGTATATAATTATATTTAGTTGAATGGGACGGTAGACATGTTTTGGGGTGGGGGGGGGGGGGGGGGGCGGAGCCCCCTCCTCCCAAGTAGAGTTGCCTGAAAGAAACTCTAAATGCGACTTTTGTCATGAATGAGATTAGGTGCATGGTTTAGGGATATGCCTATGACTATATTTTGTATAAATTAAAGTACCGATTCTGGATAAAAATCCGTTTTCAATGTCATTTTTCGTTTCCGGTTAAATTGAATTAAGGTGGTGATTTTGATTTTGGTTTAAGTTTAAAGAAAATAGACAGCACTATCAACCTAGCGCCCTTTGTATCCTTCCTCAACGGGCCATTTTTCTCGTATATATATATAAGCAGACTCTCTTAAAATTAAACTATTTCCTGATTTAGTAATTTAACCTATTTTATTGCAAAGTATATCCATCGTTAGACGACAAACCTCAAAGAAATAGGCTCTAATTAATTTCTGGCCTACTTGGGTTTTATTTTTTAAAATGTTTTAAAATAATTTGTGCAAAGTGTATCTTCATATCTGGCAACTTGGTTAAAAGTATATGAAACAGGGAAACTTGATTAGTGTAATGGTTTCCCATGTTCATTTTCTTCTTGTGTATTATTGTATTAATTTTATTCATTTTGAATTAATTTCTTTTTATGGCTATGTTATGCTTTTGTTTATTTATTATTTTTTTTACATTTTAAAAGGTGCAAAAAAAAAAGAAATTATTTTTTTTTTTTGTGTGTGTTGGATTTGCTTTCGGCTCCCTAAATGGTCTGCCTTCTGGATGATTTTTAGAATATTGTCTAAAAGTTAAATTAATTTCAATATTATACATTAATTTAATAAAAAATATTTAGTTATAAAAAACTAACAATCTTAAAATTTAAAACAATTAAGATTACAGTAAAGAGAAATATCAACAAGTGAACAAACCAATCAGCTGCACAGATGACAGAGGTTTAAAATCTATTGGAGTAACATAGAAATTTTCATCAGATAGGAAGAGCAAACACAGCTCCTCCCTGGTAAACCAGGGTGATTAACCAACACAAAATGGCAACACTTTCGCTGAAGATCAGTGTGGTTGACCAAAGTGTCATCAAAACGATGCAGTTTGAGCCATCCACAATTGTTTATGATGCCTGCCGAATCATAAGAGAGAGAATCCCAGAGGCAAACCCTGGCAATCGTAAGTATCAGAAGAATTATCTTTGAATGAAAAGAACTCCAGTTTAAAGAACAATAGAACAAATAACAAAATAAGTGTTAATTGAAAAAAGTTATAAATATTTGCTTAGTTGTTATGTATTATGTGTATGCCAGTAGTCGTAATATAATTATTTCCTTTTCATAAGCTTCTGAGTATGGTCTGTTTTTGGCTGATGAGGACCCAAAAAAAGGAGTATGGCTTGAGCAAGGCAGAAGTTTAGAATACTATCTATTGAGAAATGGAGTAAGCATAAACTTTGTATATCAGATGTTTCTTTTTCTCTTGAATTGTGTTTTATTTTGAAATCTTATTTTCACTTGTCCATTTCAAGTATACACACCTGCAACTCTTGTATAATCACTGGTAGGGCAATACAATATCCAATCGACATTTTTTTAAATTACTGAAATTGCTGACATGGTTCGGGTCAAGGTTAGGGTATAATACCAGCTTTAAATATAATTCTCTTATGCAATTTTTAAATAGTTTCCGTCCTCTCTATATCACATACTGCAATCTAAAAACAAACAAAGAAGAAAATCTACTTTAATTGTAAAGATTTTGTGGTTATTATTTGTGTAATGTCTACCCATCCATGGTTAATTTAGGTTTACCATAGTTTATTTAATATTCTTTATTGTTTTTTGTTATAATATAGTTATATTCAATTTGCTTCAGGATCTGCTTGAATACAAAAGAAAACACAGAATTTTAAAGGTACGAACACTAGATGGTGTGCTTAAGACACTACAAGTTGATGATTCCCATACAGTTGGCTCTTTAATGATTACAATCTGTACAAGAATGGGTAAGCACTTTGAAGATTCTACACAATGCTATTTTAAGAAAACACATAGAAACATGCTTGAAATATTTCAACAGTAACTCGGTTTATTTAACACAATTATTTCAATCAACAGGTATTACTAATCATGAAGAGTATTCATTAGTTAGAGACTTACCTGATGAAGAAAAGGAAAAGACTTTGACTTTAAAAAGGGACAAATCTATTGCCAAAGACCAGAAAAGATTAGAGGAAATGAAGAAAAAATTGCATACTGATGATGAATGTAGGTTTTTAATGTATGCTTTAACTTAGATTCAGCATCCCTTCTCTTAAGATATATTTTAGCATGTAACAAATGATTTTAGGCATAATATGTATTGCTCTTCTTATTAACAAAAATATAATAACATAATTTTTTACCCATATTTAAATATGAAGTATCTAATTTATGGTAAGAATCTCAATAGCATTTGATTTTGTTTTCATTTATATAACAAAAAGATGTGGTAACTAATATTACTGAGTTATTGTAATTTTAAGATTAAATGTTTACCTTGACAGTGAACTGGCTAGACCATTCTAAAACTCTTAGAGAGCAAGATATTGATCCTAATGAAGTGCTTTTACTGAGAAGAAAATTCTTCTATTCTGACCAAAATGTTGATGCTAGAGACCCTGTGCAGCTTAATTTACTTTATGTTCAGGTATACATAATTTAAATATTATAATCCTAACAATTATTTTCTACATTTAAAAAAAAAATTATTTTTTTTTGGATATTACTAATTTAATGTTTTGAATGCTTTTATTGAATATTTTTTGTCATTTTTATAATATAATAGTTATTATGATTTAACTAAAGCAAAAAAACATTATTAAGTGCTTATTATACTTTGATGATCAATTCTGATTGTTCATTAACATTTTTCTGTTTCATCAGTCTCGTGATGCTATTTTGAATGGTACACATCCAGTATCAATGGAGGAAGCCATCCAATTTGGAGGCTTGCAATGTCAAGTTCAGTTTGGTGATCATGTAGAATCCAAACACAAGCCTGGATTTTTAGAGTATGTTGTTTTACTATTCATTTGGCACAATTTTGTCAAGGTGTAAGATGAATCTTTGTAACAAAGACAGCCTTAGCATTTAATAGATGTGTATGTACTTATATATCAGACATGCTTACAGCCCTGCAAAAAGCAGAATTGTTTTCCTTTTTTACAAAACAAATCTTGTCCCGTTCCACCGCTCCGCTTTCCTCAAAGTTTAGGCCTCTTAGGGGCCCAAAACCCCACCAAAAACAACAAAATAATTTTTTTTGCACCTTGATAGACGAACACACACTATTGCATACACAAAAAAACAAAACATGAGCTGTAGTGTTAAGATAGGCAAACCTTCAAAACTCTTCCTGACTTATCGCCCCTATTTAAATAGTCTAATAGGGTTCCCAAAAAGCTAATTTTATTATTTATTTATATATATATATATATATATATATATATATATATATATATATATATATATATATATATATATATATATATAGATATAGATATAGATATTTATTTATATAGAAAGTGTGTGGTGTGTATGTATAATTTTTAAAATTCAATTTACTTGTTTTCTCTTAGTCTCAAAGAATTTTTGCCAAAGGAATATGTCAAAATCAAAGGAATTGAAAAAAAAATATTTATAGTAAGTAACATTTTATTGTTTAAAAATAACCAGAAACATACTATTAATAAAAAGTGCATAAAAATAATGGTTTTAATATTTTATTTTTCAAAATGATTAAAACAAGAACTTGTACTCATGTACAAAAATTTTTTGTTTATTTTCTCATATATTACACAACATGCTAAATCCCATTTAAAGATTTTAAATTTCATATGGTTAGCCATGTTTAGATGTACATCACATTATAAAATTTATAAAAATCAAATCTGTAAGTCTTTTATTTTGAAGTATTTAGATTTGTGTAAGCTCTTCGTGGATTATGAAAAATTTATTAACTTAAGTACATTTTGCCAATTTTTGTTTTGCATCTATAGGAACACAAAAAGTTTGTTGGACTTACAGAAGTTGAAGCTAAAGTTAAATATACACAATTTTGTCGGTCCCTCAAAACATATGGTATTACTTTTTTCCTAGTTAAGGTAAGAAATCAAGGTTGCTACATTCACATTCTACATATAAATAAACTAAAATCTTTCACTGTTTAGTTGTCATGCTAATTAATTAAAAGTGCTTAGGAAAACTATGCTTAATTCATTTTTTAATATATCACCCTTTTTTTAAATAGCTGTTTGTTCTTATTTTAAGACAGACTTTAAAATCATAATTTTTTTTAACGTTTAGGAGAAAATGAAAGGTAAAAATAAACTAGTACCGAGGCTGTTGGGAATTACAAAAGAGAGTGTGGTTAGAGTAGATGAAAAAACTAAAGAGGTGAGTTTGAGTTTTTACAGCATTTTTTATTTAAATCTAATAAATTATTAGATACTTGCTTTTGGTACATATGATTAAAACTGCTTTGCTTCAAAAGATTTTCATTATTCTAGAAAATTAAATAGAATAGGCACAAATCCAACATCCCAAAATTCTTTTTATTTCCATGACATTTTTTGTTTTGTTTTGGTGCATCTAGTAGGTCTACTAACAGAACCATTGTTGAGATGATTATTACTATCCATCTTATCCATATTTGATGAATATATTATAAATATGTTTTTGTTTTATTTTTCTGCATTTTGTTTTGTTGTTAGAATTAAAATTTAGTATTTCAGGTCTCGTGGCAAAGATAAGTCTCTATTGATAGTTTAAGTGCCTATTGAATTTGTCAAAATACAAGCTGACAAATTAAGCATCATTTTTTAAAATTAAAAACTTTAGGAGATGGCAATAGAACACAGTTTATTAAAAATTTTAAAAATTTTCTTCAGATATTGAAAACATGGCCTTTAACAACTGTGCGTAGATGGGCTGCATCACCTAACAGTTTTACTTTGGCAAGTTGTTTATTCGTATCAATGCATTGTTTTAGAAAATATTTATTAAACATCTTATCACAATATTTAATACTGTTAATCATTTATTTATTTTAATTTTACACTTCATTCCACACAGGATTTTGGAGACTATTCAGACACATATTACTCTGTTCAGACAACAGAAGGAGAACAAATTTCACAGCTTATTGCTGGATATATAGATATCATTCTTAGAAAAGTAAGAAATTTTTACTTAATACACCAACTGAAGTGTTGTACGAAAGTATTGCATTCTTTGGTAAGTACAATAGTAATTTGTTTTCCAGAAAAAAGCCAAAGATCACCTTGGCATTGAAGGAGATGATAATTCAACTATGTATGAGGAAAACGTCCAAGCTGGCCAGTGAGTCATAAAATGTTACTTATATGATTTAAAAATCAATTATATAAAATAAATCATCTTAGTATTTATTCTATTTTTGAATAACTCTTTTTATCACAGAGCAACAATCATTCAGCATAATTTAGGTAATGTGAAGCATCCAAGTTCAGGCAATGTTTCAATGCCAGGCCTTCTTAGAGATGGCTATCAGGGAGAGAACAAAATTGCTATGGGCTCTTTAGGACGTGGACAGGTGTCATCACAGTCTAACAACGCACGGAGTGGCTCTTCATCTCGGCATGTTAGTGATTTTAAACCCACTATACTACCATCGTTTTCAGCTTTTCAAATTCTTTTAGATATAAATCAGTTTCTTAACAAAAAGTGGCAGTGTATAGATAACTGAGTAGGATAATTACTATTGTTATAATCTTTAAAAGCAACTTAGGTATAGTTGTTAACACTTTACAAAGTAACCTTACATTGTCTTTAAAAAATTTTTTTTGCTGTATAATTTATGGATGTACAGTTTTTGCCCAATCTATACATTTAATTACGGGTTTAAAAAAGTATTTTTGTTTCTTTTTTTTATCTAATATTACTCCTTAAAAATTTACTTGTTTAAAAATAACTTAATAATATCTTAATTTATTGTAATCAAGTTGAAATATACAATGATATACAGTAACTAAAAATTTTAAAACCTAAGAAAACTTCAGATGAAGAGCACCTAATCGGACACAACAAATTTTCTAAAGAATCAACAGAAAAATAAATGTTCACTGTTTTGCTCTTTCTAATGAAAGTATCTTGTATCTAATAACAACTTTTTAATTAACATAGATATTAGAAAGACAAAATATTACATAGCTTCAAAAGGTACTAGGTTGGAGTGGTGTGATATTTCTTTAAATAATTTTGTTTCTGAAAAGGATTTTTAATCTTTGGCATATTTGATTATGTTTACGCATTTAGTGCAAGTATTATGTTGTTTAAATTATTGATCTTAGTAATGCAGTTTGATTTACTAAAGCATGGAACCTCATCAGCTAATCTTTCCAATTTACTTAACCTTACACCAATGGTAATACAGGGAGAACCATATGAATATGGGGATGTAAATGGCTCATCAAAGACTCCCTCAGCCTTTGACCTTATTGATGGGGGTCCTACTAGTGGAATGCAATCAGGATCCAGTGTATGTGTATTGTTTTTAGTAGGGAATGCATGCTAGAACTACAAAAAAGAAACTGTTTTGAAGCCAGATATAATAATAACAAAAAAGGGATCAGCTAATTAATTTTATATTTAAAATCTAAAAAAAATATTAAATTTCAAATGATTGCAAAATGATAATTACTGTTTAATTGTGCTTAAAATTATCCATGTTACTAAATATTTTAAAAAACATCTGGCTCATGACATTTCCAAACATTAATTTGAACATCGTGTTGCTTTGTTTTTGTTGCTCTATACACTTTCTGTCTTTATAAATAACATTTTGTTGCATTTTAATACTATTTGGAAAAAACTTAATTATCTTCAAGTTTACTAACTTCTAACACATTGTCAGTATTGCACAATGAGCACAAATATTTATGTTTTAATCATGAATAACCCATTTCACTTGTGATGTCTAGTTTTTAACAAATTTAAAACTAAGAAGGAAGCAATTTCCTTTTTTTGTTTGATTGTACTATAATTGAATTTTCTTTACTAACTGAAGTACCCATATTTGTCTTACTGGTAATAGACCTGAATGATTTGTATATTTTCCTTTTCAATATTGTATATTCAATAATATACAGGCTTGTAATATATTTTGGGCAAAGTTATTCTTTTTTAATTTTAAAAATTCTTAAATTATGATTTTTTGGTCAAAAATCACACAATTCTAAAATGAAATTTGTTTTTCAAATTCAATAATAGCAAAATGCAGAAAACAGTTTCAAATATTAACTCATTGTATGTAAAAAAATTAAACTTAATTAAAATATCGGATTTCCTAACACAACTAATTGGAAGTATTATTTTTTGGAAGTTAAGTCAAGTAACTTTCATGTAATCATTTTATCTATAGACACTAGATAATAATTTTTAATGATATTTTGTACAGGGGCAGACAATCATACAGCAGGAACTAACACAAGCACAGAGAGCATTTATTCTGACTATTTCTGATGGTTTGGGTGCCATTGATTCAGCACAAGATAACCTTAACAAAAAATCTGATATGCCTACTCTTGGAGATGATCCAGTAAAAATCACTTCATTTTATCTGTTTATAAAATTACAAGAAATTTAATATAGTGTAATGTACAATCAAATTTAGATTTTCTAAGCTCTAAAATGTTTACAGGCTTCCAAAAAATGGCGTGCGAATCAGTTAGATTTATCAAGACAAAAAGTGGGCTCCCAGCTTTCAGCTATGAATGCAGCTACAGCTCAGCTTGTCACCCTAACCTCAGGTGAACAGGATGACATTGACTACACAGCTGTTGGCGCTGCTGTCAATCAAATGTAAGCAGTTTAAAATTATTGAGATGTGACTGTTTCTGATGACGTTAGTATTGAGGGTGAAAACGACAAGTTTAAATCATGACCAATGATAGCATTAAATTATGCTATCATTTGTTGGAAACAACATTGGCATAGCCAGTATAGGAGCTTCCACTCTTCTTCAGACCTTTTTTTAGTACAGTTTGTTCTTTTACAGAGATTTAGAAATATTTCTAAAAAAGAAATGTATAGTATAGGCCAAATTGAAATTGTATACATAATAGTGTAATGTTTGCTTTTTTACATTTCTCTCCTTTCCCCTTGAATTAACTAAATATGTACAATTTTTAAAATTTATTTTCTTAGATCCTCAAATGTAGGAGACTTTAGTCGTGATGTAAAAATGCTTGCAACTCTGCAAGAAGGTGATGACTCTGGTCTGAGATTACTAGATGCAGCTCGTGGACTCATCGGAGCATTTTCTGACTTGCTGAAAGCAGCTGAACCTGGTAGTACAGAAGTAAGTAACTGTTTGGTTTTTTTTTTTCAAATTTTATTTCTAATGATGGCTTAAAAAATGTCTTGAATTAAATATGTTCTCACAAGAACTTTGATAAACATTTCTAAAGAATGTATTTAAGTTTATGATGCTTATTAAACTTAAAACCCACCTTTTTATTATTAAAATAATGGACAAAAAAAAAAGAAGTAAGTAATTCTGCTGTAATAGTGTTCATTTTTTCAAAAGCTACCATTAATCCTTGATTTTATGTTGGCTTAGTTAAATAGAAACTATTGTTTTTATTGCTTGAGATTTTAATATATGGAACTTGTTGAGCATTCCATTACTTGAAAAAAATAAATGGCCATTTATATCATTTATATCATTGTCTTGGAAGCTAACATGTTAAAAATAATGTTTTTTTCTTCATTTTTATACTTAAAGCACAAGTGGCATACTTGGCTCAAACACAAATTCTAAAATGTGTTAGGTTCAGTGTTTTGTTTAGAAATATTGTATAAGACAAATTTCTGCAACTTATACTAATTAATACCTATTTATTGACTAAAAGTCATTGTTTCTTAGGTCTACTGTAACATTCTTTTAAAATAATGTAATACTTTAGAGCAGAAAAGAAAAAAAGTTTTAAGAAAAATGATATACCTGTTGAACTATATTTGATAAAACAACACTGTGCAGTCCCATTGAATAAAATGATGCTCATTTTCCATTTCCCATTTAAAATTAACCAATACGCCTCCTTCGGTGCACAACTTCAAATTTTGTTCTATTTTTTTTTTTTTTTTGCACATTAAAAAAAAATGTCCATAGTTTCTAAATAATGCCTGTTAGACACTTCAACTGTAGCAAATTCTAAAAGCAATTGCCACATAAAAAACGTATTTTACAAATTCTAAAGATGGATTAGTGATTAGTGATTTTAAAAAATCGTAAGGCTAAATAAAATATACATTTGAAACAGCCATTATTAGTTAAAAATGCATGCCATGCACACTCATCTGAAACCCTTTTGCTTTCACTTGAGTGAAAATGAAAAGAAGCTTCAGAACACAAAAAATGTCATTCTTTTGTGCCCAGAAGATGTTCAAAATAGCCACAACATATCTAAAATACAAAGCAGTTCAACTTTGTTTTGTATTATTCTAAGCTTTAAAGTAATGTTAAGGACTAAAAATTCTCAATTGATAAAGTTGTGAGAAAAATGCAGCATTTTTACGGTCACTTTAATAGCAATTTAATTATTATATTCAAAAGTTGTATTAAAAGTCTTAAGTAACTGTCTAATAATCTGCCTTTTCTTATTAGCCAAGACAGAATTTATTAACTGCAGCAGGTAGAATTGGTGAAGCATCTCAAGATGTTATTAATGAAGTTGGAGAGCATGTTGATGATTTAGATAAAATCTATCAGGCAAGTTAATTTAATCACTTAAGGATTTGGTGTAAACTGCATTTATATACACATATATCTGTTTTTTTTTTAACTTTTAAAGAGCATTCTATATATAAGCAACCTATTTATGTTACAGGAGGCTTTACTTGCCTTAGCCAAAGCTGTTGCAAATGCAACAGCATCTCTAGTACTGAAAGCAAAAACAGTTGCTAATACTGCTGATGAGCCTATTCAACAAGATAGAGTAATCTCCTCTGCTACACAGTGTGCCTTAGCTACTTCACAACTTGTTGCTTGTACTAAAGTAATTTTTTTCTTTTAAATTAGTTAATGCAAAAATGCCCAAATATTGGCTGCAACCAAAATTAGTTAAAGATTATTGCTTATTTAACATTAGTATAGAGTATGGAACATAGAACTACATTTGAAAATGTGTATTATATGTTTTAGGTTGTTGCTCCTACAATTGGTCATCCAGCATGCCAAGAGCAACTGATTGAAGCAGCTAAATTAGTAGCCAAGTCAGTTGAAGGTATTGTTGAGTCTTCTCAGGCAGCATGTAAAGATGATCACTTGCTGCAAGACCTTGGATCTGCTGCTACAGCTGTTACAAAAGCCCTCAATGATTTGTTAATGCATATTAAAAAAGCTGCTCATCCTGCACATGTAAGTAGCATTGAATTAAACCAAATTTGCATGAATACTTTCTTTTGAATTTAAATATTAATCTGACTTTCGGCTATTTTTATAAGCTATTTGTCTGTTTGATTGTTTGTGGGTTGTGGCAAATCTTAACTTAATAGAAGAATGCCATTCAATCATTAACTAGCCTACGTGGGGGTGTGTAATAGTTAGTCTACTGCATGTCAACTTACTGTGGCCATGTGAATGTGCTACAGCTATATATATATAAAAATATATATTAATTTTTTTTATTGAAATTGTGATCAGACATGAACATTATGTACCTCTTGATTTTTACCCAGTTTTTCATAACTTTATAAAGTTAGTCAGAAGTTGCAGGCAGTCTTGAAAAAAATTATTATTGAAGAGGTGGGTGGGGCTGTAGACCGAACTTTTTGATGCCATTTGTTGTATGGTTGCCTAGTAATTAATGATATAATTTGGGAAAAATTTAGCTCATTAACTTGATGTCATTTTTATGTACGACCGCTTGACTGCGCCTTATATATAACTTTACCAACATGGTTCTTAATAGGATTATCTCCAGCAGAGATATAACTTTTCAGTTTTGACGGAACTCAGCTTTTTCCTAAAAAAAACAAACAAAAAAAAACAAGCAAATACACAGGGAGCTTTTAAATTTCTAATTTTAACGTAATTTTGAGTTTTTTACAACATTTAAAAAAAAAAAAAAACCACTCGATCATCATCATAACTTTTGATACAAAATACTGATGAAAGCTTACTATGGTGTGGTTACACAACCGATCAAGGCCTAGATCTAATAGTCTTTAAACTTAAATACAAAAACCTTGAATTTTTTGCTGCTGTCACTTGATAAAGAACTGTTTGGTCACTGTTGGCTGATTTCATGAGATGTTAGACATCTCATGAGTGACCTAAGCTTTTATTAAAGAAAACACTTTAGTTTTTTCCTTTTTTTCAGTGCATTTTAAAGCGTGTTATTATAAAGGTTTCTTATATTTATTTTATTTGAGCATATTTTCTTGAACTTATACAGTAATAATTGTTTTTTTTTTCTTGTTTACTACACAGCTACTACTTCAAATGTCTACAAAATTGTTTCACCTCATTTACTTTTAATATTACACAGGCAGTAGAACAACATGAGGAAGCAGTTGACACCATTATTAATGTTACAGACAGGTTATTCAGTTCTGTGGGAGATGCTCATGAAATGGTTAAACAAGCTAAACAATTGGCTCAGGTAACTGTTTTAATCATTTAAATTTTTTTTTACACATTTTTTATGTTTACTAGGTTTTCTTTTTGTAATGCATTAAGACTTCACTAACAAGTTTTTTTTTTTAATTTTTAAGTCCTTGAAATGGAATAGCATTTTTGGTTTTGCTTATTTATATATATCTATATAATGTCTGTCTATCTATAAACAAGGACACATTTACATATTGCCACAGATTTGAGAATCACATTTTTTTCGCTTGCTTGGTTCGCAAAATATTAATTATTAGTCATTATTTATTTATTTTCACAGCTATTTGATAAGAATTTAGAATACATTTTAAAGGGATTTTTATTTTACCCGAATATCTTTGTTTATTTTTGTGTGTAGTAAAAGAAAGGGGGAAATTAAAAGTATAAGAGTTTGTATTAAACCCCTTAATTTTACGTATCTGAGAATCTGGTATTTTTCCCGCTATCTCCTTACGAAATATCAAGTTTGTATCACATCTGTAAGTGGTCAATCTAATTGAACCACTTTGAAGAATGTATAGTTTATATAAGACAGCGGTTATTCTAACTCAGTTTAGGTCAGTTTTTGGTCACTTTAAGTACAATTATTGAGATGACTATAGTTTTTCCGATAAAATCAGAGTGGACAGCACAATTTGGCAAGATCAATAAATACTTCTGCAGCATATCTAATTAAGGGTTTTAGGAACAGTGTGACAGACAGAATCCACTTTGCTTTTATAGTTCTAACTTTTCCCGCTATCTCCTTACGAAATATCAAGTTTGTATCACATCTGTAAGTGGTCAATCTAATTGAACCACTTTGAAGAATGTATAGTTTATATAAGACAGCGGTTATTCTAACTCAGTTTAGGTCAGTTTTTGGTCACTTTAAGTACAATTATTGAGATGACTATAGTTTTTCCGATAAAATCAGAGTGGACAGCACAATTTGGCAAGATCAATAAATACTTCTGCAGCATATCTAATTAAGGGTTTTAGGAACAGTGTGACAGACAGAATCCACTTTGCTTTTATAGTTCTAACTTATAAATGATAAATGTCTCTTAGGCAACTTCAACTCTAGTCAGTGCTATTAGAGGTCAAGCTGAAGACCATTCTGATTCAGACACACAAAGAAGACTATTGGCAGCTGCCAAACAGCTGGCTGATGCAACTGCCAAGTTGGTCGAGGCTGCAAAAGGATGTGCCTCAAGGTGAAAAATACTTTGTATACATTGGTCTTTTTTTAATTTAAATCTCTTCTTGTTGTTCTTTTGAAAAGGAGACTGCAGTTCTTGAGAGTTCAGCTTGCATAGACAATTATCAAAATCCTAGTCCAGTTGAAATTTAGGCTATTAGTTTAGTTGGAATAATAATAATAATTTTTTTTCTGAATACTCATGAATGCATACCAAAACTACAGTTCGTAGAGAAGTATGTTGATATAAAATGAATATAAAAGAATAATATAATTTTGAAAAAGTAATGAAGAATATATATACATACTATTTGTTTGGAAGGAAAATCCTTCATAAGGACATGAGTATTCACTACTTCTCTTGGTTGTGACTCAGAGGGATTCAGAGGGTCCATGTAATGCTGCACACTTAAAACAAAGACAGGCATAGGTTTTGCAAAATATAGACAACAAAATAAAAACTTATACTTTTTTAATCAAACAAAAAATATCTTTAGTTTACATAGCATACATCCATTTGAATACGTTAAGTTATAGTAGAACATACAGTACTGTTTATTTTTGTGAAAGGCAATTTGATAATTTCTTTGCGTACTTTATAAGTGGACTGGCTTGTAATGCTTTGAGAAGCAGGTGTCATTACGAAACAGCAATATAAACAGTAAGTGATATCACTTTCTGTTTACATTGTTATTGTTGTAAAGCTTCAAACTTAAGTTCTTGCACTAAAGTGTTAACATTATTTTATTTCACAGTATCTCTGTAGTCAAGTGGGTGTGAGTTTTTTCTTTGTTTAAATCTATCCTCACTGATAATAATTGTTAAAATTGTGCTTCTTTTTTGCTATTCAGTCCTAATGACTCCAACCAACAACAGATGTTAAGAGTTGCAGCTGAAGAATTGAGATCTGCAACTAACTCAGCTGCTAGCAACGCTTTGAAAAAAAGGCTTATGACTAATCTTGAGGTAGTTTTATTGTATTGATAATGATGAATTGTGTAAAGTAGGGTGTTGCCTAAGATTTTAAACTTCATTATTGTTCATAATGACTTTGAAAATTAAAAACTACATTTATTTACCTTTAATTTGATACCAATTTTATTTATCCCATTTAATAGGTAGTCTAGAAAATGATTTGTGAAAAAACACGTTAGTTTTTTAAGGAGTGTTTTTGTGACCCACTGTTCAGCAGAAATGTGTAGTCTGCTAGATTTCTCCCCATTCAAATACACAACAGGCAAAATAGGCGGGCTTAGTTTGTTGTTGTTCGATCAAGTTATGTTTTATAGGTTTTGTTTTTACCCTGCATGATTTTTAAAACATTAATGACATTAGTTTAGAAGAAAGCAAGTTATAATTTTCTATAGTTTATCATATTTTTTAGTAAGTTCACAACAGTATTAAATTAAGCAATTCACGTTTTGCTTACTTTTATTATGTTCTGCTCAATATTCTCAGCGATTAGACCAAAAGTTAGCATCAAACACTAATCGTCCATTGTTAAAACTAGATCGGTATTGTTGAATAGTACACAAAAATAACGATTTTATGTATACATTTCTGAAATGACCATGAAACATTGTTATAATTCCTAATCACGTTATCGTCGTTTTCGGCAGCCATTATTACCATGACGACGGTTTAAAAAGTAGGTCAAGCGACAACCTATATAAAGGATCATCCATAAATGATGTCCTCAAAAAAGTTGTTAAGTAGAGTTGACGAGGAAATGTAATAATAAAAAAAATTAAATAGTCGCCACCAAACCTACTTCCAATATGCTAGCTATAAACTTGATATTTGATGTGTACTTCGCAATGCTAATAAAATTAACCTAGAGGTTTATTCTTTTAAAAATTATGTTATTAATTACTATCATTATTAAAAGGATATAGAATTTACGGAGAAAAATGTGGAAAAAATGTTATAAAAATATGAAAATAGATTTAACTAATTAGATGTTGTGTGTGTAGTTTTAAGGAATTTTTTTTCCATATTAACAGTTGAACAGACTGAAACATTTGATTTTTTTAATGAAAAGTTTAATTAGTTGCTGTTTGCATAAGACCAAAGTGAGATTATTACTTAACATATATTCCTTGATTTAATTCTGCTAAAGAAGGGCACTACCATTGTATACATTTTGAATGCATATTACATCTTTGTGTGTTTGTTGTAACATACAAATATTTTGATGTTATTAAAAGTAAGTGGAAAAGTCATTAGTAGTGGCCAATCTTTTCAATATTATTTTTCTGCCTTCTACCAAATTTTTAAATTTTTATTAATTGAAAACTTTCCCAAGTAACTTTTTTATTTACTTAACAATTTTCATGTAATTTATATTTAAAACCATAATCTCATTGTTTAAAATTCTTTAAATGATTTGAATAACTATAGTTTTTGTATAAATTTGAAAATAATTGTAATAGTCAATCTAAAAAAAAAAATGGATTTGCATGGTAGAGTAGAAGGACTAGCACGTGTTCATTCTAAAGTATTTGTTTCTATTTCCCAGTTTAGTCTTATGCACATTCCTGAGTCCACTATTCTGAAATTGATATCTAATGCATTTCAGAAAGGTTAAAAAAAGAGACTTTGTTGCTATACCATTATTTCATATTCTTTTTGTGGCCTTAGAAATATGTGAACTCTACTTTACATAATCAATGTAGCAATTTTAATAATGTAATTTGAGTAACAATAATTGTTTTACAGTCATCTGCCAATCAAGCAGCAGCTGCAGCAACTCAGCTGATTAATGCATCCAATCAAGCATACAAAACAAATCGCAACCCTTCATCCAACCAACAGATGATAACTGCTGCCCAAGTAAAGACAATTGTTTATTATGTCTTTAGTACATTTAGGTTATAGTAAAATTAGTTACCTGGATTTTATAGTACCACTATATGTCTTCTGCATCATGCCACCTAAAACGCCTTACCTATTACACCTACCTCAACACCCCTACCACACACACACCCCTCAACATGTCTACTAATCCATCTGCAAACTCGAATCACATGCAAACACTGCATCACACACATAAAATCCATTTATTATGCAACACAACAAGCCTACTCTTCATCTTCTACTAAAGAAAACCCGTTCAGAAAAGTATGATTAGAAATTAGAGATGTTATTTATAAAACCCAAAACATAGATTTTTTTTACATAATTAAATCTTAATAATAGCTACATTACACACATTGCTGATGTACTAATCCTAAATGAATATACATGCTTATAAATTTATATAAATATTCAAGATAGAAACCCTGTGATATTTTTGGAGTTCTTTGTTTTTTCAATATTTTAGGGTCTTGATCAGCAAATCCCAGCATTAGTTCAAGCACTACGTGCTGTCCAGCGTCAGCCAGATAGTGCAACAGCCCAGTTGGCTCTTATAAATGCAGCCCAGGATTTCATTCAACCAGCTAGTCGCCTAATTGGAGCTGCAAATGCAGCAGCACCTACAGTTTCTGATCAAGCTGCTGCACTAAATTTACATAATGCTGTCAAGTTTATGTCTAGTGCAATTGCTGAGCTTAGATCTTCTGCCAATAAGGTATTTTAATTGTCATCATATTGGGGAAGGGAGGTATGGAATATATGGAAAAAAAATGTTGAATTTTTACAAAATGATTATACAAAATCAAATAATTATGTGTAAATATTGCAGTTATTTGAAACCAGTTTTTATTAATTAAATAGGCTCAAGAAGCTTGCACATCTCTTGAAATAGATAGTGCACTTGATCAACTGGGAGATCTTGATCAAGATTTAGCTGATATCAAGCAAGCTGCAATGGCTGGCAGACTAACTAGACTACCTGGTGAAACAGTAAGTTATAAACCTACATATTAAATGAACCCCACTGTGTTTGATATGATGTCTCCATCCAATCTTCATTGTTGGCATGGATAAAAAAAAACATGTTTTTTTTTCAATTTTGAATTCAAAAGAAATCAATTAAAAACTTAAGCCTGAAAAATGTTAGAAATTTAATATTTTTGCAAATCCAGAGAACTTGAAAATTTTGTGTGTGTTTAAAGCTACATTTCTGTATATTTTTACAAAGCCAAAATTGTAACCTTAAGTTTTGCTTAAGTAAGACAAACTATGATTTGCTGTATAGAAACTCTGTGATCATATTTCTGAAAACACCACTATGTGTTAATCTGTACTCAAAACCTTTGCTGATAAATATTTTTAATAAAAATATTAAAAACATCAAACACATCAAATTTTTAGTCCAACAAAAACCACACAATCAAGTTTTTACAACCACATTCATTTTAATTTGAGTGCACACGATTTTTAAAATATTTAATGGAACCTTCAAGACTTTTCTCTAGGGTCCATTATAAAATTATGCGTTTTATAAACAAAAAAGTTTAAAGTTACCCCAACCGCATTATTATTTTGACAAATATTTCCTTTAGGCTGAAACATGTTCTACTCAGCTTGGTACAACATCTAAAACAGTTGGATCCTCCATGGCTCAGTTATTAACTGCTGCTGCCCAGGTTTGTTTAACTTCCTGGATATACCTGTAAGCGTCCTGATTCATTCTATTCTGTTAAGGTTCATGGTTAAAAAAATGTTTTTTGGTTCTAGGGTAATGAAGATTACGTTGGCATTGCTGCCAGAGATACAGTTAATGCTTTAAAGATTCTCGTCAGTTCTGTTAGAGGTGTTGCTGCAACTACAGAGGATAAGCAAATACAGCAGACAATTATAGACAATGCAAGAGATGTGATTCATCAATCTATTAAGCTTTTGGATGAAGCCAAAAGTGCTATGAATGATCCCAACAATCCAGATAACCAGCAAAAGTTATCTCAGGTATTTTAATGTAACCTAAATGTGTCTTTATTAAGAACTAAGTAAAGATCAGAGTTACCTCTTATTTTAAAAAATCTCTGAATTTTTGTTTCCTATTGTACAGTAGGGCTATATAATTCTATCACAAGCAATTTTTGCACATTTATTCATTAGGTTGCTAAAGCAGTCTCAAGTGCTTTGAATAATTGTGTCAACTGCCTTCCTGGACAAAGAGATATTGATAATGCATTACGATTAATTACACAAAATTCTCAAAATTTGTCCAATCCAAGGGTATGCTATTCACTTAAATTATTTCTATTTGCTGTCAACAAATATTTTATTGAAAGTCAATTCAGATGAAAAAAATATTAATTTCAGTTCCCTCCAACTGATAGAAGCTACCAGGAAGTTCAAAATGACTTAAACAATGTAGCATTGAACTTAAACCAATCTGCAAGTGATATTGTTTCTTCATCTAGAGAAACCACACAGCATCTTGCTGCATCATCTACAAGATACAGGTAAATATAACTTATTGTGTAAACTATGGTCCCACACAGATTGACTGCGAATAATTACCATTTTGTGAATTAAATCCTACGTAATACCCTTGAATATAATTTTTACCTTTTATTACCTAAGCTTTATTCAATGTCGCAAAATTAACTTATATTTGCTGGGCAAGTGTATCTGCTATTGGCTACTATATTGTTTAAGATGTTAAGGGAAATTTAAGAAATTTTTCTTAAATTTCCATCTTTATTTTTAAAAATTCTTTTCTCACGTTTTAGCCATCATTATGAGGACTTTGTACACACTGGATTAACTATTGCTGGACTCTCAAAAGATTTAGAAACTCAAAACCAAATTGTAGGAGGCTTGAAAAGTGTTTCCATGGTATCAAGCAAACTGTTGATGGCTGCAAAATCAGTATCTGCAGACCCAAATGCACCAAATTCAAGAAATCTTCTTGCACAGGCTGCCAGGTAAGTTCAAAAATAAAATAAAAATTTTGTAATAGTTTTTTTATGATAACACAAAATAATGTGTTGGCTGCAGTTAGGAAGCTGTATTATTAATTATAACTATTTTTTGTTAGGGCTGTAACAGAAAGCATTAACCACTTGTTCAGCATTTGCACCATGTCTGCACCAGGACAGAAAGAATGTGACAATGCCCTTAGACAAATTCAGGTATATTGTATAATTACAGCTAAATTTAATTTTACATATTTTAAATTTGTTCATCTTTATTTGCTTATTTTTTTTAACTTTTAAATATTCATTATTTTAAAAAAAAATTTACTATTATCTTACTACTAATTGATAGACCTTGGTTTGATAGCATCAGCACAATTTAAACATTGAGGAAACTTACTTATTTCTATATTTTTATGACAGGTAATTGCTGGCATGCTTGACAACCCTAATGAGCCTGTCAGCGATCTCTCATATTTTGATTCACTTCAGGCAGTTATGGAAAAATCACAGGTATAATTCTTATTAATATTACATTTAGCTTTTCAATACAGATTTGATAAACCACTCACCATGAATATACTGACTAGATTTTTATATATTTGCTAAATTTTTAATTATAGGATCTTGGGAATGCTATGACAGGTATATCTAACCACGCAAAAAAGCAAGATATGAACGAATTTTGCAATTCTGTTAGAAATTTTGCCAATTCTGTTTGTGGTCTGACAGAAGCTTCAGTTCAGGTATGTTAACCTTTGGTAAAAATGCTTAAAATTTGAAAATGTGTTTTTTTTTTTAAGGTTGTGTAAAGTGGTTACATGGTTTGACTGAGACTGTAGTAATAATGCTTAACATTACCATGCTTAATTTGCAACTTGAAACCCTGAATAGTGCATGGTTAATTGAAAGTGTAAAAAAAAGTTCTTGTAAATAAAATGACTGCTGTTTCCTGATCTTAGTTCTATCCCTAAAATACTTATTTATGTAGTGTAATAGGCTTAAATCATACACACACACACACACACATATATATATTATATATATATATATATTTATATAATATACTATATATATATATATATATATATTATATATATATATACATATATACATATATATATATATACATAATACATATATATACATTATATTATATATATACATTAATACATATATATACATATATATACATATATACATATAATATATACATATATATACATATATATATATATATATATATATATATATATATATTTATATATATATATATATATATTATATATATATATACACATATATATACATATATATACATATATATATCATATATATATATATATATATAATATATATACATATACATCTATATATATATACATATACATACATATATATATACATACATATATATACATACATATATATATACATACATATATATATACATTATATATAAAGTACATACATATATATATACATACATATATATATACAAATATATATATATACATATATATATATATATACATATATATATACATATATATATACATATATACATAAATATATATATGATTATATACATATATACTATTATCTATATACATATATACATATATATATATATATATATATATATAATATATATAGATATATTATATATGACATATATATTAAATATATATATACATATATAGATATATATATATAGACATATATATATATATATATACATATATACATATATACATTAAGATATACTTATAGATATACATATATATATATACATATATATATACACACATATATATATACATATATATACAAACATATATATATCATAAATATATACACACATATATATACATATATATATCACACATAATATATACATATATATATATATTAT